TTTGTAATTGTCTATTTATTTTGTATTTTGCTCTTGTAATGTTTTCCTAAATTCTCCTAGAGTATTGTCTATCTTTTCCTTAGTTTTGTTTGTGGCTTCCTTGAGCCTTGGAAAGCCCTATATATCTACATATAAATATCTTTTGAATTCTCTTTCAGGTAGTTATATTATCTGTTATTCCTCAGGAAAGTTTCCTAGTTTTTTATTTTGGTCACTTGTTTGCACTACTGTGTGTTCCTTTGTTTGAGGTTGTCTATTTTCTCTTAGATATTTTGGTTTTTGTTTTTATTTGTTAATTAGGTATCTATTTGCTTCACCATAATTTTTGTTTTGCTTTATTTTGATATATCTGGGTGCGTGAGGCTGGCATGCTTCTTTGGTTGCTGGTTTTGGAGCACTAGGGCACTTTCCACATCTCTCACAGGTGGAGAAACTGATGGGTATATGAGCACAAGTCTTTGTTTGTTGCTTGTGAAGAAGAGCTGCAGGTAGGATGAGCAATTGTCTGCTGTCTGTCATTGATCCAGTGGTAAAGGAGAAGGTAGTGGTGCTTGCCTGTTAGGTGAGGTGGTAGGTGGTAGATGTGGTAGATATGGCTGACTAGTGGAGAATTAATGTCTGTCTTCCATTGGATGGGGCAGGGGAAAAAAAGGAGGATAAAATAAGAAATAAAATAAGTTGGGGATGGATGAGAAGGAAATTGGGTAAAAATAAAAGAAGAGGAAAAAAGGGAAACAAACCAATAAAAAGGAAGAAATAGTAGATGAAAACAAAGAAAAAGAAGGGGAAAAAAATGGAGATGCTTATAGAGCTATGGTCAGCCAGCACCAGCAGAGGAAGCAGCTACAATGCAACCCATGGGCACATATTCCCACGAAGGAGGGGGCAGACAACTGATGTGCATGCACATGCCTCTGACAGAGGAAGGGGTAGGGACATGTTCTTGTGTTCAGTGGTTGCAAGCCTTATCAGTGACACAGATGCAAGGAGAAAGATCCGTAGATCCTGGCTCTGCCTGGGCTTCTGGTGGAAGGAGGCAGTCAAAGAAATCAGGCAGGTGAGTGTGAGTGGTGACTGAAACCATCTCCAGCCACCACTTTGGTGAAGGTGGGTAAGTCTTACTACTTTTCACTTGGAAGGGGGCTGGGAATGTGGAGAAGTCTCTGTGGTTCCAATTCACTGACATGAGACAGATGCACTACTGACTATGCACAGCTGGTTAACCAGCTCCCATCTGGAGTCAATCAAGTTGGGGGACACCTAGAGTCCACTGTCTCCAATAGCCACCCCATAGGCCTTCCACTTCACATGTACCCTCAACCTAAAGGACTAGTGTTCACTAATAATGAGTTATTACAACCCCCTCTTCACTGGCTTCTTCCTAACTGTGTTTGCCTGTGTTACTGGAAATCTTGCCCATTTGTCTGTGCTATTCTCTTTCAGATCCAGTGCATAGTCTACTCAGCTTGATTTCCTCCATGTCTATCTGTGCTTTGTCTCTGTCCTAGTGTGGATTCTGTGAAGTTGGCTTCTCTTCACCCATATATGATTCCTCTGTCTCAAAATGGTCATACTTTGTTGAGCGCTGGCTTTTTCTCTCTCTTCAAACACTGCCCTCACTCCATCTTCCTTTCTAGTCAGTGCTTAGTATAATTCTTTATCCTCTCATTTGATGTTCAGGGTTCCAATATTGTTAACTGTATACGTTACACTCAGTTTTTTTAGGTCTATGTTGTAGAGGGATTGGGTAGTGTGTCAAAAGGACTCCATCTTTTCTCTACCTATGATTTCATGTTTCAATAAATAGTCAATGCATCTTGGTTTATAAATTGATGCAAAATTATCTGGAAATCCCAGTAAGTTATAAAAAAAACAATTAGCTAAAATGAGTTTCCAATCAGAATTACTTTTTTCTTGTAAGTCAAAAATGTTATATTACTGATAGAGTACCTGTTGTTAGGTAAATCATAGGAAAATATAGATTGTCCTTAATGCATCCCCAGGAGAAGAATTAAGATTAAACAAAACAGTGGCTATAGAATGGGAATTCCAGAATACTAAATTGTGCTAATGCAGAATCTATATGTAGAGCAATCTATACATAGAACACATACATACAATCTACACAAAGAACACGTGAATAGTATATGGTTTAAAATCAGGAAAGGTATGCATCAGGGTGGTATCCTTTCACCATACTTATTCAATCTGTTTGCCAATCAAATAATACAACAAGATGGATTATATGAAGATGAATGTGACATCTGGATTGGAGCAAGACTCATTAACAACTTGCATTATGCTGAAAGGGAAGAGTAATTGAAGCACTTACTGATGAAGATCAAACAATACAGTCTGCAGTGTGGATTACACCTCAACAGAAAGGAAATAAAAGTCCTTACAATTGGACCGATAAACAACATCATGATAAACAGAGAAAAAGTTGAAGTTGTCAAAGATTTCATTTTACTTGGATCCATAGTCACCTTCTTTGAAAGCAGCAGTCAAAAAATCAAATGATGTATTTCATTGGGAAAATCTGCAGCAAAAGGCTTCATTAAAGTATTAAAAAGCAAAAGACTTCTTTATTAAAAAGCAAAGACATTGTTTTGAGACTAAGATTGTTTGAGAATTAAAAAACACAAACTGTGGGGTTTTTTAATCACTTCACATGCATGTGAAAGTTGGATGGTGAATAAGGTACAGCAAAGAAGAATTAATTAATTTGAATTGTGGTATTGATGAATAATTTTAAATATACCTTTGGCTGCCAGCACAACAAACAAGTCTGTTTTGGAAGAAGTACAGCCAGAGTGTTTGAGGATGGCAAGACTTTTTCTCATGTACTTTGGACATTTTATCAGGAAGGACCAGTCCCTGGAAAAGGATGTCATATTTGGTAAAGTAGTGGGTCACAAAAAAAACAGGAAAGCCCTCAATGAGACAGACTGGCACTGTAGTTGCAACAGTTGTCAAATATGGCATCTATTGTGAAGATGGCTTCCAGTGGGACTGGGCAGTATTTCTTCTTCTATACTTAGGGTCTCTGTGAGTCACAGACAACTCAGTGGCATCTTTCTTAGTTATCTGTTGTTATTAGGTCCTGTTGAGTCGGTTGTGACTCACAGCAACTCTGTACAACAAAATGAAACACTGTCCAGTCCTATGATGTCCTAACAATCCTTACTGTGTTTGAACACTGTGTCAGTCCATCTCTTTGAGGATCTTCCCTTTTTTCTCTGACCCTCCACATCACCAAGCATGGCATCCCTCTCCGGGAACTGGACCCTTCTGACTACATGACCAAAGTAGGTCAGACTAAGTCTGGCCAAGGAGAATTCCGGCTGCACTTCTTCCAGGACAGACCTATTTATTCTTCTGGCACTCCATGATATTCTCAGTATTCTTCACCAGCACCACATTTCAAAGGCATCAATTCTTCTTCTCACTTCCTTATTCATTGTCCAGCTTTCACATGTATAAGAGATGATGAAAACACCATAGCTTGTTTTAGGTGCACCTTAGTCTTCAAAGTGACATCTTTACTCTTTAGCACTTTCACTGCTGGTCTTTTTCAGCAGATTTGTACAATGCAGTACATCATCTGATTAATTGGCCCAATGGCACAATGCAATACATTGCATTGTATACATGTATGTATGGTATGCTGCTTGCATGGGTGTTGACTGTGGATTCAAGTGAGATGAAATCTTTGACAACTTCAATCATTTCTCCATTTATCATGATGTTGCTTATTGTTCCAGTTCTGAGGATTTTTGTTTGCTTTATGTTGATGTGTAATCCATACTTAAGACTGTGATCTTTTATCTTTGTTGGTAAGTGCTTCAAGTCTTCTTCAATTTAAGCAAGCAAGGCTGTGTCTTCTGCATATCTCAGGTTGTTAATGAGTTTTCCACCAATCCTGATGCTGCATTCTTCTACATAAAGCCCAGTTTCTCACCGTATTTGTTCAGCATGCAGACTGAATAAGTATGATGAAAGGATGCAACCTTGATGCGTGTCCTTCCTGATTTTAAACCATGCAATATCACCTTGTTCTGTTCAAAAAACAGCCTCTTGGTCTATGTATATATTACTTATAAGCACAACTAAGTGTTCTGGAATTCCCATTCTTCATAATATTTTTCATGATTTGTTATGATCCACACAGTCAAATGCCTTTGCATAGTCAAGACACACAGGTAAACATCCTTCTGGTATTCTTTGCTTTCAGCTAACATCTATCTGGCATCAGATTTCATAGCATCTCTGAGAGTCACAACAAACTCACTGGCATCTTTCTTAGTTATCTAATTCTGCTGTATCAGAAACACCACAAGTAGATAGCTTTAACAAAGAAATTTATTCTCTCCCAGTTTAGGAGGCTAAAAGTCAGAATTCAAGGTGCCAGCTCTTGGAAAGTGCTTTTCCTTTGTATTGGTTCTATGAGGAGATCCTTTTCTTCTTTCAATTCTGTGAGTCAGGCATCCTTTGGAGATTTCCATGTATCTTGACATCAGTCTTACCCTGGGTCTAGGAGGGTCTCTGTGCAGAAACCCGGGATCGAGAGGACATGCTTCACTCCCAGCTCTTCTTTTTTGATGGTAGTAGGTCCCTCTTTCTTAGTGTGCTTTTTTCTCCTTTTATCTCTTGTACAATAAAAGGTGATTCAGGCTATGCCCCAGGGAAACTCCCCTTAACATCAGATCAGATTTGCGACTTTACAACTGATTAGCTGATCACACCAGATCACATCATGGGGGATGGTTGCATCATTACATAACTACCAAATTACATCACTACATAACTTCCAAACCACTGAGAATCATGGCCTAGTCAAGTTGACATATACCTTTGGGGGATAAAATTCAATCCATGGCAGCACAGCACCCTAACAACAAATCAGCAGGTACATTCACTTATACATGTATATATTCATATAACTGCCTGCTCCTAGTAGATGTTCAAAAATATTAGTTCAAAAATATTATTATTTTTAGGTACTTGTTACAGTGCCTGCCTGCTTTGAAATTCTGCTGCTTGCTCCTCATCGACAAAAATGGGTGAAAAAGATCAGATACGTTATATTTGATGAGGTAAGTTGTATGTTTATTTCTTTGAGTTGATGTCCTGTTGTGCATAATATGCTATAATGAGGACCTTTGGTGCTTCAGGACATCAGCCCACTTGCTTGAGGTTCATGTTGGAGGAACACTGCCTTCAGAATTATATGCCTAGCAAATCACAATCAATCTTTTGTTTCCATTTTCCTGTTGTGACTCCTTAGAGTATATTGGTACATGCTATAGATCTCTGTAAGGGAGAAGAACTATTCATTGGTGACTACCACTTCAGGGAAAAATAATTTACCCATCATGTCATCTGGCTTTAGATGAACTAGTTTCAGCCAACTGACTAGAGCTAAATGAAAGTGGCTTGCTCCCTCTGCCTCCCCAGAATCCCAGAGGTTTGGGGTTGCAGTAGATATAATCCTAGGGTCCTTCTGAGAGATGGCTGGTCTGGAAGGGTGAGCTCAGTTAGGGAACCAAGTGTGAAGGTAACCTGAGGAGTGAGTGTGAGTGTGGATGAGCCTACATGTGTACAAGAGATAATACACCATGTGTGCATACATGGGGCTGGAGGACTCGGGAGCGTGCAGGGATCATGGCTAGCCTGAAGCTCCCCGGATGTCCTACCCTGCAAATTACACACCCATGCATTACCTCCCACAGATAAGGAGAAGAGGAACCAATAATAGGCACCCACCTTGCCTCCCCCAGGTCCATGTGAGTACCTGAGAAATGGGCAATACAGGTAGCAGGCTCACCCAGAGCCGATCCAATTCCTAGCAGAGGGGTGAGGTGCTCTCCTACTCCTTAGAACAAGGCCAAGAAATAACTCATTTAAAAGACTGCATCTCCACTTCTTCATCCAGATGGAGAGATAAGATGTGATAGGAACCTGGCTTGTCGCATATCTAACACATGTGGAGAACAAAAGAGCGAGGAGCTCTTTGCAATAACCAGGGAGCTCTGGTAGCATAATGCCTAAGGCACTTGACTGCTAACCAGAAGGCTGGCAGTTCAAACCCATCAGCCACTCCTCAGAAGGAAGATGGGGCAATCTACTTCCATAGTGATACTGCCTTGGAAACCCAAGGACAGATCGCTATGAGTGAGGGCCGACTCAATGGCACATAACAACAACAGCAAACAACAACATCATGTCATAAATTTCGTTGGGTAGAGATTTCAAAATATGATCTTTGTTATCAAAGCCAAGAATATTGCTATACAGTTACTAACAATCATGCCAATAATGTAATTTATATCATCAGTCATAGTCTCAACAGAAAAAAACACATTCAACATACAAGAATTTGAGGAGGGTGCCTTTTTAAAAAGTATGCATATGAGGGAAACTATAAGAGTTCAGATTAGTGGTTAGTCATTTACTCCAGATCCTAAAAGGGCAAAGTGAGGAAGCAGTTACTGAAATTCAAAAGGAGGTTCTTATAGAGTTGACCACATTGTGAGGAGTTATTTTTAATATACACAGCCAAATCAGAGTAATCTTCAGGAAGGAAGACAAGGAATAAAAACTTCAACTGAATTTTACCCCCTTCCTCTGACCAATTGCCACCTTGGCCAAAACTAATAGAACCAGAAAATATGGAAGCACATTTGAGGTAATCATTATAGGTCAATTTTCCTGGATGGAAAGAGCATGGTAGAAAATAGTAGATATCTATAGGGAAAAATAGAAGACATTTAGCAAAGATATAAAGCGTATTACTAACAATATTTACTGAAAGAAATTTAGCACATTAAAAATATATGTTCTTTTGCTACAAGGTTTTTTCAACTTATGGAGGAAATAAATGACAAACTTCTATTTAATTCATCTGTTTCTTGTGGTATACTTTGAAGCTACTAAATAGTAGCAAATAATACTTTTTGATTTGTCTGATTTTGAATAACTCCCTGTATTAGTTATTATTTTTTTTTTTATTAATCTGCATACATTATTGTCCTTTAGGGGAAAAATCAAAACAAAAAATTTTTGTTTTTACAATCTAGAACCTTGAATTGTAGTCTAATTTCAAAACTCCAAAGTGGCATGACATTGGGTACTGTAGTTTTCCCAATTTTACAGAAAGGTAAAACTGAAGTATTTTTAAAGTTAATATCTGGTCCATTAGAATCAGAGAAATATGCTAGATAGTACAAAGCATATGGTTAATATTCAACAAAGTGGTATATTATCTGGCCAGAACAAAGCCAGTGAAGAGTGGAAATATCCTTTTTTTCTTTTTTTTTTTTTTTTCTCTATCTGTTTAATGAGGACCACATTTGAGATCTTTCCTTAATCTACTTCATTTTTCTGTATTCAGTCAAAAGGCATCCATTCATTTATTCAGGAAATGCTTCTGAGTATCTTCTCAGTGTCAAGCATTGTATCAGCACTGAGGATACCCAGATGTGAGGTCAAAGTTTAACTGAGAAAGAGGAGTTAAACAAGCACAACATGACTATATCAGTACACATTGGTCCATACTGTGAAGAGAAAGAGCAGGCAATCACGACTGCAATAACAGCAGGGTTGGTGAGGGAAGACATGTGGAATGGGTGGTAGGAAAAATATTTCTTAGGCAGAGGCATTAATCTGATCTCAACAGATTAAGTGGGAACTGATGGCAGTTGAATTTGAGAGCCTGATTAAGAGAGGGGTAGCGACCCCTCCTTGGGTTTCCGAGGCAGTATCACTACAGAAGTAGAATTGCCCAACCTTCCTTCCGAGGAGTGGTTGGTGGGTTTGAACCGCCAGCCGTCTGGTTAGCAGGCAAGTGTCTTAGCCACTATGCTACCAGAGCTCCCAGTTTGAGCATAGAGAACAATAATATATAAAAGCTCTGAGGTAGAAAAGTAATTAAGCAAAAGCTAGTTTACCTGGAGCAGGTTAAATGTGAGGAAGAGTGGCTTGAGATGAAGATAGAAAGGTAAGCAGGGCTAAATTATGCTGGGCATTACATGTCCTGTTAAAGAGTTTGTATTTTGTTCCATGTACACTAATGGGATGATACTGAAGAAATTTAATTAAGGACATGATCTAATGTAATTTATCTTTTAAACATATCATTATGGTTGTGTTTGAAGAATGTAGAGGTTAGAAATGGAAGCAAGGATAACATTCAGAAGATATTTAGTTGAAGTGAGATATAATGGTGGCTTGGTTAGAAATGGAGATGGAGAGAAATACATAAATGAAAGAAATTCCACAAGTTAAAAAAAATGAATTCATAATGAATTAACTAGCAAGACTGAAAAAAATTTATTGTTGTTATGTGCCGTCAAGTCAGACCCGACTCATAACAACCCTTCCTTGGGTTTCGGAGGCAGTATCGCTATGGAAGTAGATTGCCCCATCTTTCTTCCAAGGAGTGGCTGGTGGGTTTGAACCACCAGCCTTCTGGTTAGCAGTCAAATGCCTTTGGCACTATGCTACCAGAGCTCCCGAAGAAAATTTAGGTATCAAGATTTCTTGTTGCCTGAATTTGGCAATATTTATTTAATTTTGGCATGATTAATGAAACACAAGGAGCTCTGGTAGCATTGTGCCTAAGGCACGTGACTGCTAACCAGAAGGCTGGCAGTTCAAACTCACCAGCCACTCCTTGAGAAGAAGGTTGGGCAAACTACTTCCTTAGTGATATTGCCTTGGAAACCCAAGGAGGGGTCACTGTGAGTTGGGGCCGACTTGATGGCACATAACAACAATGAAACATAACTGGGAAATAACTTTTTCAGCATGTCTTTTTTCATTTATAATTTTTAAATCAGCTATTCAATTGAGAACTCTTGTTTCTATAACAGGTCCATTGTCTTGGTGGAGAAATTGGAGCAGAAGTCTGGGAGCACCTCCTTGTCATGATTCGATGTCCCTTTCTGGCTCTTTCAGCTACAATAAGTAATCCTGTACATCTCACTGAGTAAGCATTAGTTCCATTTTGAACATGATGCTTCTCTATTTTGAATATTTGTATTTTATACTTTCAATATAGGTTATGAAAAGTTTCATAACTTTTGAATTAATTTACTAACTTACTTCTTGATTTTTAGAGAACAGAGCCTCTATTGTATCGTGGAAGTTACTAAGCAAAGACATCCTCTATAAAGAAAAATCAAAGACTCCCCCAGCCAGATCTGAAATTGAGTAGAAAATAGGGTTCACTAGAAATGATGTATTTATATTTCTTTGTCTTTGTCCTTAACTAAGAAATAAAAAAAAATAAAATGATATAATAACAAACTCAGCCATGGACCCTGAGATTTCTTCATAATATCCCACTTGTGGAACATAATTAGAAAAATAACAAAGCCATATTAGTTTATAGCCACATATTATTTTGTTGTTGGGCTTATTTTTTACCCCACGTAATGATAACAGTTATAGCAAAGATACCTATAAGGCATTTTCAGTAGCTCAGAATAGGTACGATTCTAAGTGGTTTGTGTATGTTAATTTACTATATGTTG